TTCGACGAGCGGGCAGACCTGGGAAGTAGATGTTGGCAAAGAGTGGGTCTCAAGTGAACATCACGCTGTCGGGAAGCAAGTGACCAGTGATCCACTTGAGAAAAGTAAAACCAGAAACACCTCCCGACCATGGTGGATAGCTCTCGAGACATTGAAGGAGATGGAAGGCTGTTTGAAGAAGTTGAACAGTGGAGTGGCTCGCAAACGATACAGCTGGGCCACCCAGCAGAAGGCTGAGGTCAACAAGATAGAGTTGGCAAACCAGCTGAAGAGATCCTGGCAGAACTTATTGAAGGATCATTTTGAAGAGGCGATGAGGACATCCTCATCGGCACCACCACTGATGGCGAATCCCTTTATCAGGACTGCAGGACAACTGATGTTCGCGTGGAGCCTGTTGGGGATAGAGCTGGAAACGCTGACTTCATACGACAAGTTGAAGCTGGGAGGAAAAAATCTAGAGATATACCGAATGTTGATGCAGCACGTTGCCAAGGACAACTCAGGCTTGAGTCTGGCAAGGAGGAAGGATGCAACCTGTTTCTTGAGGTGGACGATGTCGATGATGACTGACAGTACCATCCTATCATGTCATCAGAAAGCAGTCGCAAGCAAGACGTTGGAAAGGAGAGTCTCCACAGTCATCTTGAATGTGTATCAGAGCACTGGGATAGAGAGGGAGGATGGTTCTAGGCAATCTCTGGAGAACCATAGGAAGTTGGATGAGATACGGAGGTTCTACAACAAGAAGTTCGAAGAGGAGCACGACGTTCACCGCAACCTGGCTTCGTCAGGGGAGTACTTGAAACTCAACAGAAAGGGAGAGTACCAATATGTTTCTGGAGTAATGGGAATGGCGTACAACCCCTTCTTGGACCTGGAAGCTGGAGGAGCCAACAGAAATTATGAAGTGGCGGAGCTGTTGAAGTTCTGGACAGAGAAGATAGTGGAGATAGACGTTGTGGAGAGAGAGAGGCCTAGCCTGGGTCTGGTTCTTGAGGGGATGCCGGGAGTGATAAGTGTGCCACGCTCAAGTAAAAGAGTGGAGCTAAAAATGGGTGATGGGAGTGGCGTGTTGATCACGAACCTGGGAGTGGTATGGAAATTACTCAGACCTTCCTGGTGTCCACATCCCCATGCAAGTATGATTGAGGAGGTCACTGAGCGAGTGAGATTGGCACCGACAGAGGATGAGGACTTGGCGATCTTGAGCATAGTACACAAACTGATCTTGCCTCAGGTGAAAGAATCAAGTGAGGTGACAAGTGGAACAGAGCCGGTGAGGAGGATGGAGCCGGGCAGTTGTCTTGATTCGACATGCAGTAACGGCGAACATATTTGTGATGGACGATTATGCGTCAGGATACAATCTTTCCAGAAAGAGGACCTCACTACCTGGTTTGAAGATATCACTGAAAGGGAGAAGAGTGAGGTACAGATAGTGGCTGAATGTTACGCGAGGACCACCGTGAACCTAGCGACAGCCTTGGGATTCTTCTCAAGAATGTGCAGTCTCCAGTCACTGGAGAGGCTAGAGTCAGAACATCACCTGGTGACCGCGTTAAGCGTGGAATCATGGCCCGGAGTGCTACAAGTGAACCAGAAGCACATCAAGAGTTGGAAGATCGGACTCGAGGCAGAGATGGGATTTCCCATGAGCGAAGCCTATGGATTGCCTCTAAATGCAAAATCCTTAGTGGGATCAGTGTTGGCTAACCTATGTGGGAGCCACTATCCACTACACATGGCGATGGTGGAGGTGTCCAGCCAGAGGGTGATGATAGACAAAGCCTTCTCAGTGCCCAAGTGCGTGAGACTAGCTCGGATGTCACACCACTCACACAAGCTATTGAGGAAGATCCGAGGAGCAGTACCAAAGGAGCAAAGAGATGACTTGAGTGAAATCTGGGGTGAAGAACTTCTAGGCTTGGAGAGCGAAAATGCAAGTGATCATGGGAAGCAGAACGTGGTGGGGAAACCCGCAGTAGGTGCTTCAAGCTCGGAAGAAGTCGACGTGGTGCATGAGAAAATGATGGAACTTGAGCCTCTCCTAGAAGCTTCGGGAGAACGCAACCTTAGAAGCATCGACCTCACGCATGGGGATTGTCCATGCCACTGTCTGGCGCAGACAGTGTGGTACCCGGACCGCGCCAATCTCTGTCTGATCTGGGACGTAGAAGAAATTAAGTCGCTAGGACTACCGGAGTATCGACAAAAGGTGACCATCTTAGTGGTAAGCACGATGCTGGCTCTGAGATGGATTGAGGAGAATATAGCGAAGTACAGAGAATCGAGAGCGCCAACAGCTGAATCGATTTATGCGATAGATTACAGCAGGAGACTGGAGTTGTTCGAGACTGCATGCAAGGTATTCGCCATACCAGTGCAAGTCAGACACATATGGAGCCGCCTGAGATTCTTTCCTTGGTTTCGTGCGACGTTAACATCCTGGTTGTATGCAGTGACAAAGAACCACATGAGGAAACATCAGAAGGAATATCGACAATTCCAAGCTGAAATAGGGCCAGATGCCTTTAAGAGACCTCTGCTAACCCATCGAAACGCAATCACGGCGGGGTGGAAAAGAGTAGGCAGAATATCCAGAGACAATTCTAGAGCGAGGGAAACGATACTGGAGGAGGACCTGGCGAGGAATGTGAGCTTGAGTCTTCATAACTCCTTCTGCTTGAACCGGGAGTCGAAGGTGAAAGGCCTACCAAGTCAATTGAAAAGGTTGCAAGAGCAGAGAGAGTGGATGCGAGCCTATGAACAGCTGAAGGCCTGGGAGGAAATTGTGATTAGCTCCGATGACGAAGAGGCACTATTGGAACAAATTACAGTGCCAAGAACACCGGTATCAGGTACCTCGAAGGCGAAGAACATGAGGTGAGCCAGTGGCTCGAAAGGAAATTCTAGAGTCTTGAGTCTTGAGAGGAGGGGGCTTGAGCGTGAACTTGGATAAAATCTGGGTTCACGGAAAAGAAATTTTAGACGAATAAGATATTGTTATTAATATGATAGATCTAGTATATAAATCAAATTGATGCATGACAATTCTCTGACTGAAATAGGACAAAAGAAATTTTAAAAATTACCAGCTTAAAAAGCGGGGATTCATGGGTGCAGGTGTATGCAGATTTTGATTGCTGTTTAGCGGTAGTGTGAAAATTTTATATGGTCGTGAATTTTGCAAGGTAGATAAACTTAAGTCCGATGCAAACTTCTGTAAATGACCACTGGCACTGTATCTTGAGCAACACTCGGTTCTCTGGGACTTATGGGCAGATGACAACACACGATGAGGACATCGATCTCGAGTCCGGGGAGTATGTGCCAGTCGGTCATGTCTAGGGGTTTGACCTTGAGAAATACGCAATTTTGGAGTGAAATTTTAATTTTGCAAAATTCGAATTGAGCATGTCATGCTCAATTTTCTCGAACCAACTGAAAATGAAAAAGTCAGAAATCAGAACACCCGAATTAACAATTGCGGGAAACTACTCAAGAAAAAGGCAGGAAATTGCTATTCGCAATTTCTCAATACGAAATATCAAGAGAGTAGAGCTGTCTTGTCCTGAAAACAGGAGAATCGAATACGGACTTGAGACAGAACAATTATTCGAATGGAAAGGAGTGGACTCTGAATGGAAGAGTGGACAACTCGAGTGTCCAAAGGGTTCATTCAGAGACTTTGATTCTAGAGACAAAAACTTACTTCTGTTATTGAAACTAATTGGCCTTAAAACTTATTTAGTTATATTACTTAATTCTCAAGCTGCTCAGTTATAACTTACTCCTCATATTCAAGTGCGTCGATATGTAAGTTCCAATTTAAATTTCTCGAGTGTATTTTATGATAGTTATGTTGAGATAAGGCGAGTTTTAGGTTGATCCATCTGAAATGGATCAAAGTTCCACTGTCCAATAAAAAGTAACTAAGCGGATGGTTCCGACCCGGTTTTTAACGGCGTTCATGTATTTTGGGTATCCCGAGACCTAAGTATGGGGACGTTTTTATTTCTAGAGTGGGGGGGTATTTTGGTAGTGGCCTTTAAGCTGTAATGGGTTCCAGTCTCATGTCGCAAGCGAACCGAATTGGCTCCGACCGTTCTTGAGGCGGAAAAACACAAGAGATAGTGTCCCTGACTCTTGAGCCAATGGTTATAGGGCCTATTTTTCTTAAGCCTCATATGTGACTAAAGTAGGCGACTGTTACAGCCCTCCCTTATAAAGCAGAGTTTATCTTCTACTCACATTCCGTCTGTTTTAGAACCACGACACCTCTACAGGACCGGTCAGAAGCGACCAGACAGTTTCACGCTCGTTCCATGGGCTGTTGGTGAGCAGCTTTTGTGGGATGTAACGGTAGTAGACTCCTTAGCTCCTGGTAGGATTAGTACCGTGTCTGTTTGTAGCCCTGGTACGGCTGCCGCTGAAGCAGAAGAGCGAAAAATTGACTTAAAAAGACTTATAAAGACTTAGTAGATGATGGGTATCTTTTTCAACGGCTAGCTTTTGAGATTCAGGGAGCGGCCGGGCCCAGCACAAATTTTTTTTGAGCAAGACTTGTAAGAACCTAAGCATATGCACTGAGGAACCCAGAGCACGGAGCTTTTTAAAACAGAGAATCTCCCTGGCAATACAGATTGCGAACGCCGCTTGCGTACTCGGAACAATAAATGACTAAATAACTTTCGACGAAAATTTTGCAACACAATCATATTTGTATATTATATTTTCTCGTGTCGAGTTGTGTGTTCTTATTGAAGAAATGTAACCCGTATCGAGTTTAATTGTAAGGACATCAACACTTGTGATCTTCTTTTATCATTATAACTTCCATATCTAGAAAATTCCAAGGATTTTTGCTGTAATACGTGATGAAGGGACTCCTGACTGTAACCCCGGTTACTATGATACTTTTGACCTTCTGATTACAAGAAAATAAAGAAAAAGAATTGTCATGTTTTTAATTTTTTTTTTCGATTGTTTGGTCTTTCAGTTGTGCAATGTCGGCCTTCTCTACTGAGTTTGGCGTTTGTGATGAAGTTGAGAATGCTCTACAGACACTGGAGTGGCAGCTGCCAACTGACGTTCAATCGGAAGCCTGTCCTTTAATTTTGGGCGGTGGTGATGTCTTGATGGCCGCTGAGACAGGTTCAGGAAAAACTGGTGCCTTCTGTATTCCCGTTGTTCAAATCGTTCTGGAAACCCTTCGTGAGAAACGAGATGGCGCAAAAGGCTCTGCAGTAACGAAATCTGCCGGTATTTAGTTTGATTACTTAGCGATTTTAGTGAGCGTTAGGGTAACAGTACGACTATTCTGTTTAAAAGTCACAAGTATTGGTGGCATCTTTACAGTTTTTTGATAGCATGTGCTTGGAAATTCGAAGAGTAATAAGTTAAAACAGTTGATGCGTTTTTAATTCATCAAATGAACCAAAAAAAGCTATTTGTTTCAAACAACATAACAATCGTAAAAACTCGATTTCAGAATTTTTTAGCTCAACATATCTCGCAAATTTTGAAATGCATATTTTATTCATAATGCAGTTTGACACTTTCAAATTTAATACTTGCAAAGTTAGTATGGGTGCCTTCAGTTTGTTATATTCCAAATTATTACTCGCAAAGTTGTGTCTGTTTGTATTTGGTGCCACTTTTGCTGCATGGCATTGGCAATTTATCAGCATATGTAGCTGATTTATATGTGACTATTTTTGCCGATTGTGAAGCGTTGGTGACCAACAGGGCAGGGTGTGAGAATCCAATTTTCGACGTTACAGGTTCCAAGCCAATACATAGCAAAGTTTTACTACTTCGAGGCTTATTTCTACTTTTTTGTATTTCGTTGGTAAAAAAGTGTATCAATATTTCTTCAAATAAACGTTTTCGTCCGAAGACATCATTCGAAGTCTAGAAAATTCAATTTAATGACAAAGTTAACATAAAAGTAACATAAAGGAGAAGAATAAAAAGAGTAAGGATAAATTTTTCTCGCCAGCTAATCTTGAACTGAGAAAAAGAACAATACGGTGGCACCCTTGAAGTTTTCTTATTTTACTTTTTAAAGCTGCTTTTTTGTATTCTTCTCGCTAATGTTGACGTTGCGCAGCTTTGCCTCTGTAAAATTTTGGTACACTTGAAGTTTTTGTATTATTGATTGAATCAATTGTTCAAATATACGCCTAAGTGACTTTTTTTCTTCATAAATCAAAAGGTCGGAAACTATCATGGCAACCGAAGTAACTGCTTTATTCCTGCATCATTCAACCAGTTAATAACCCTTGATAAATTAGCGAAGTGTAAATCAAAGTATCGCGTGAAGGAAAGTAAAAAGCGTCAAGATGGTAGGAAATCAAGTCAACCACCTGCACAGATTAAACCGGAGTAGAAAGAAACTCAAAAAAAAGTTGACCCGATGAGGCTACAGCTCTATCACATACTTAAAATAGTTTGCCTTGTTAGTGCCGTCTCTAAATAGACAACCGCGTATTTATACTCTTCAGTAAGTTGACAAATGCTATATTAACCAATCAGAATCGAGACGAGAAATCAAGAAATTATTGATAATTATCAATTTCCTTAGATTGCCCCTATCTCGATGTGATTGGATAATATAGTATATGTCTACTTACTGACGTGTATGAGTACGCGTTTGTCTTCATATTGCTACGTTACCGTTGTTTACTTTCCCTGGGGTCTATTTATTAAAAGTTTCTTCGTTGTGGTTTAATCGCTATTAGCGCTGAGTTCACAGGCAGCATTCGCAGGATGTATTGCGAGGAGATTCTGTTCAAGAAAATGTCCAGGTCCTGGTTTCTCTGTACATTTGCTAACCCTAAGTTCTAACTGATTGCTTATACAGAAAAATTTCAGTGCTAGGCTCGGCGGCACCCTCAAATTCAAAAGCTAGTTATTTTTAAAAAAAACCATCCTTTCTTAAGTCTCTGTGTTTATTACCCTTGCGATCAGGAATGGTATTGCCTTCGTGTACTAGACTTTTTTCCCGTAAAAACTTTGTTCACAGAATTGTCCAAATTAGAAAAGGTTTATTTCGATTTGGTTCATAATGAATTCAATTTTGTTTGCTCCTCCAACATACTTGCTATGGAGGTAACAGTTTGGCCTGGTTCAGCAAAGGTATTTAGGTCGAATCTGACAGGACCTGTTTTTTTTTTTCAAGCGGAAAAGATTCCGTTTCAAAAGAAAAATTTCGGCTCCTTGTTTGTCGGTTTATGTTTTGCCGGCTTAGTTGCCACATCGTATAATTGTATATATATTTTTTTTACTGTATGTAATTCATGTTGTACTGGCTTTAAAGCTTTTTGAATTACTTCTTGGGTTATTTACTAACCTTGGCTTCGTATAGTTTTGTTTAAAATTTTTTTTTCCATTTTTTTGGCTTTACTTTATCGGCTCACTGATCTAAGTTTCAACAGTATTATAAATTATCGTATCACTTCTTGCTCGCATCTGATTTTCATATATAAATTGATTTTTTGTCGGGTTTCTGATTTCGTCCATATTCTTGTCGGCTGGCTTGCCTAGTGTTTTTTTTCTGCAATTCTTTAGAATATTTTTGATTTTTTAAAAAATCTTCATTAAGAAAAGTATAGTTAATGATTTTCTAGCTTGCTCCAAATTTTCAAATATAAATTGATCTTTTGTCGGCTTTATGATTTCGTCCTAATTTTAGACGGCCTACGTACCGTTTGTTTTGTTTGTAATTTCGGCTGATTTTTGATTCTGTTTTCATTTTCAATAAGATAAATATAGTTAATGGTTTGCTGGTTTTTGAACAGAATTCAATAGTTTAATTTCAGATCAATCAACTTTATGGCATAGCGTATTCTTTTCATATGTCAAAATTTTTCGAAAATAATCATGAATTTCAAAAAAAGTTTCTTTTGTAAAATCGATTTTTTGACTGTTTTGTCTACGAAGATATATGTCAATTGACGTACGCGATTCAAGAGTGGTTAGTTCGGCCGAAATTTTTGAGAAAAAAAATGATTTTTCATGTTTTGTTTATTTAATTTGCAGGAATTTTTGTTATTTTTGTTATCGTTGTGTACTAAGTTCATTTTTGATATGTTTGATGAAGATCTGTTTTGAAATAATCTCCATAGTTTTCCGATTTTTTTTCAGGTTCTTTTCTGTAGAATTCATTGAAAGTTAAGCGTTCTTTTTTCAGTTTCTTTTATATCGTAGTTAGGTAGCAAATTCAGGTAGCAAATTCATCCGTTGGTTATGAAAAAGAAAGAAATGGTGTTTGTTGCCCCAATCTTGCCTATTTTTTAGGTAAATGATTTTTATAGCAATTGCAATAAAACATTTTCATGTTTTGAGCCTACGATTTTTTTTTTCTTTTTTTTTGTTTGAGACACCCTATCTTTTCATTTAAGGCTTTTAGTGGTGCAAAAACCAGCTTGGCCTCTGTGTCACTTCAACAATCTTTCGCGGCTACCACCATTCGGGGGTTACAAACCTCTGCTTATGCTACTAGAGGCTAGGGAGTCAACTACCCTTTTATGCCATCGAAGCTGCCAACCATCTGTCTGGTTGCTTCTGATGTCTTCGCAGTTGTCATGGCCTTAAAACAAAAGGAATTGAGTGGAGGCGGAAATTTGCTTCAAAATTGAATGCATACAGAAACTTCTTGCTGCGCTATTCAAACAAGATAAGCAATGCCATCCATCTCTGGTCACATCTTTTCTGCAACAGAATCTATGTTAACAAATTTCTGAAATTAGGTGGAGTCTAATAGGGATTCTAAGCTTCTGATTTGTCAATTTCAATTTTGATTCTTTTTAGACGGGATGGCATATAAACATTGGGATTCTAGATGGCATATAAACTTTTCCTAATAAATATTGAATATTTTCAGCATCTTATGAGAAATGTTGCTATGAAAAACCCGCTTCATCCATTTGTTTGGACACCGTTTTCCGAAGCTACTCCACCTTGTGCTGAATCAAATCCAAGTTTTCATGCATAATTTTTTGTTCCATCCTCATGGTCGGAATCGAAAGTTTCGCTTAAGGCAGTTATTGCTCTTAACGCCGTTAAAGTAAATGAGACTAAGAGGCCATAAAAGTAAATGAGACTAATAGGCGAGCGGAGGAAACACACAAGCCACTTTTGAGTGGTGGTATGACTACAGAAAAAATTGATCTAATCTTCATTTTTACTAGAAAAAACAAGGACAGTATTAGAGTTTCGACATGCTGAAACATTTTTTAGAAGGTAAAGATCATAATGTGCAACCAGTGTATCAATTTTCTCTAGCTCAGCTATCGTTTCATTGAACAATTCTTTTTGACAAAATTTGCCTAGGTAGCCTATGCTAACAAATTCATCCTTTGGTTTCATTTTGTTTTCGGTCAAACATTATGACACTGACCTATGATTACAGGCCCTTTGTTCGGCCCTACAAAACACAGCTATTGTTTAGGCCCAAGCCATGATTGATTTTTAAGGTCTTTGAGCACTATCTTGTTGTTGTCGGATAGATTTCTTTCATTCAAATACCAGACGTTAATATTGGTTCCAAGCTTTTTTTAAACTAACGTCTGCTTTGTTCCAACCAGCAAGGGCAGAGCCTCGGGGTCACTTTACTGTTTTCCATCCTCTGACATAATGATGGGTTTTTGTATAAAACGAAATTTGGTATACTGTAAGCGCAATGGGTATTTTTGTTCCCAATTTGGGTGGTTCGAAAAAACGTGATTCAGTATAATTTCTCGTGTAGGCGAATTAAATGCATTACTAAAATCTTATTTTAGAAAAAAACAGCTCTTCGTGTTGTCGTAACGCTCATTCACGTTTCTAAAGGAAATAAGATTCTTGTAAGCGAATTAAGAGCGTTGGTGAAATCCTATGCAAATATAACTGAGCGCCTCGGTTTGTCCTGACGTTCTACCAAGTTTTCAAATTAGTGTGCAGCAATTTCAGCTCATAGTTTGAAAACACATCTTACCTGATAACCCTGAGAAAAAAATTTGTCGTTCTGAGAAATACTTGCCTCCTATGCTTAATGTCGATTGCCTTTGGTTACAACTCTCAATCTATTTTTACAAGAGGGATAAGTTCTGCTATAAAAAAGATCTTAACTTTGCCTTCTCCGGTAATGTTAAGGAGCTTGGTAAGTGGTTTCTAGAAAATAAGCCCGAAGTGACATCTGCCCGAAGTGGCATCTGCAAAGTGACATCTGCTCACGTTTTTTCTGATGCGTAAGTTATGTTCTTACGCTAGTCAGAACTGGCAGTTGCCTTAGCTGGCATGTTTTCCTCAAATTATAGTAGTCTTTTTCTACTTGAAAAAAAACTATTCGGTTTTTGTCACTTTTTCTGAGTGCTTGCTTGCTATGCTGCTTGTGTTGTATGGCAAGTGGTGCGAAGTCGCTTAAGTTCCTGCGACGAAAATATGTCTTAAAAGACGTGACGTAGAGGCGAAACTCACTTTTGTCCTTCGGAGCTCTGCGGGTATACATTGCTTCAAATGTTTTTTTTTCAAGCTTTTGGATTTGGACGAGTTTCAGCTCTTAAAATCTTGACGTCTTTCATTGATGGTTTGAAAGTCTCACAGGCAATAAAATTATCAGCAACTGGTGTACCCTTGCCTATATTTTTATCTATTTATCTATTCCCACCTCTGCGAAAGTGGAAAATTTGTATTTAGGTACAAATTTTGCATATACTTAACCGTTGATTTACTTTTTTATTGGGTCGATTTTCGTTGCTAGGTATCATAAGGGGGAAATAGTTTACGTTAAAATAGTTCTTAGTTTTTGTAGGCGCTCCAGTAAAAATGGCAATGAATGTATGGGATCGATCGCCACAGTTCGCAATAAGCCCCGATGGACTTCTGTGTCAGTCGCGTGAACAGAAGGTGTGGCAAGGGGCCAGAGCTACTTACGGCGTAGCCAATCACGGCAAATGGTATTACGAAGTGACAGTAACCGATGAAGGCCTGTGTCGTGTAGGGTTTTCGACCAGTCGGGCAACATTTGACCTGGGCTGCGACGACCAAGGATTCGGTTTTGGAGGAACTGGAAAGAAATCGCATCGGCGTCAGTTTGATGATTACGGAGAGCCATTTGGGCTCAGTGATACGCTTGGATGTTTTTTAGACTTGGATGCTGGCGTTATTAGTTACTCGAAAAATGGAAATATGTTCGGAAAAGCATTTACTATTGCCACGGCAATGTTACATAACACTACAATATTTCCAGCATGTACTCTGAAAAATGCAGAGCTGAAATTTAATTTTGGAGGTGAACCCTTCAAATATCCTCCTGGAAAAGATTTCCATGGGTTTGTTGGAGCAGATCCAAAGTATCTTATTAAATCTTTAGCTGCACCAGTGAAGTCGGCTTCACAAAACACTAAACGACAAAACTGTCCTCAAGCACTGATTTTGGAGCCTTCGAAAGAGTTAGCTGAGCAAACTCACAATTGCATAAATACCCTTAAACAGGTAAATCAAACGTTTTTCTAGAGTGAGTCTTGCAAAGTGAGTGATACTTCTTTTTTTAGATAAATTTTATGAGAATCAGTTGAATTTGTGGTTTAGTTCTGCAAAGATCCACCTATCAAATCTCTCTGCTGTGTCGGCGGGACAAATGTCAGAGACCAGATGGAAGCACTTGACGCTGGAATCGACATTGTGACTGGAACACCAGGACGTCTTGGGGTCAGTATTAGCTCTTATTTCCATCAAAGTTTGGGAAAATGGTCTATTCGATTAATTATTGTGTCATAAAATTTTTAGGGTCAAGTTAGTTTTAGGGGAGCGTTGAATTTGAGCTGTTATAATTTCCAATTGAGCGTTTCTTTTGAATAAAACATTTTGACTTTAGGACCTCATCAGTAATGAGAAATTGGACGTCCGCGATGTTCGCTTCTTCATCCTGGACGAAGCAGACGGTCTTCTTCAACAGTCACATGGTGACCTCATTCACACCATCTGGAAAAAGATCCCACAACTCACCGCCGACAATAAACGGCTGCAAGTGGTTATATGCAGTGCCACTTTGCACTCTAGAGAGGTCAAACAACTGGCGGATAAAATCATGCATTTTCCTGTATGGGTATGAACCAACTTGATTTATCTACTCAGACTGAATTTCAACCAAACGATCAAAATCGGATTCAAATTTTTTTATACTGGCCAAAGCTCATTTAAATCAGGAGTCCTATACAGTCACGGTACATAGAAGAATATTTATTAGTTTGCTCATATGTCAAGGTGTATATAATGCTCATAATTAATTTCCCATAGATAATCAATTTTCAATATTTGCGATTTTATCGCGTGATTCACAACTAACGTATGATGTTTCTGGTCGATGCAGGTGGATCTCAAAGGCCAAGACTCAGTGCCGGATACAGTGCACAATGTAGCGTGTGTGGTTGACCCTACTAAAGATCTGCAGTGGCAGTCATCGTCTGCCCTCATTACCACCGATGGTGTCCATAGAGTGGAGGGCGTGAGAGCGGGAACCCACTCGCCAGAAGCTCTCTCGGAGGCGGTCAAGTTGCTCAAGGGCATTTATGTACTGAATGCGATTAAAAAGCACAATATGGATCAGGTTTGTGGATAAAATTGTGAAATTCATCAGTTTAACATACTTCTAGTGTCTGTAAAAAGATGCACTAAGGCTTTATTGATGCTGTAAACGTGCCATGAACTAACTGGTTTTTGAGTCCACATAGCCAAAAAGAGACCGACTTTTTTGTCGAGGATTTTGCTATAGGATATTGTTGCCAAGATATTTTTTGATATTTTTAAGCTAGTCTTTCAAACTACTATCAGTGTTTTTTGAAGTGCCTTATGCAACTAATGTTTGTTAAACCATGTAGCGCGATGGAATTCTTCGCGAAAATTTAATCTGTCTTTAATTGGGGAACATGAACTTTGACCTGGTTGAGACGCGAAAAAAGAACGCGTTGAAATTTATCAAGTTTTTTTTTTGCTTCAGGCCATTATTTTCTGCAGAACGCGGTTAGACTGCGACAACATGGAGAGATTTCTTTGGTCGCAAGGGGGAGGACGCAACAAGAACAATCCCTTTTCATGTGCTTGTCTCCACGGGGACAAACGGAACGACCGTGCTATTAACTTGGAAAAATTCAAAACGAAAGAGATCAAGTTTTTGGTATGCACAGGTAGGCATATATTTTAGTTCGAGATTATACTTATACACTTGCGATTATCAAGCGTTATGAAATCGGATATAGACTTTTTCAGGATAAAAACTAATTTAACAAAATCACTTGTATTATTTGACACCTCGCCTCATATAGTATCAAAGTCAGAGCGGTTAGTCTATAGCTCACAGGTTCGAATATCAGACGTAGCCTATTTCTAATTCGGGATTAATTTCTTTTTTATTACATTTTATAGAGCTGCTTTTTGTCGTGTTCTCGCTAGTGTTTGCCAAGCAAAGCTTTGCCTTTGTGTAAAAGGAAGGCAAGCTCCACTATCGAACAGTCAAATTGTAAAGGTCACGAGACTTCTAGTTTCGAAAATTGAATTTAATTTTCAGATTTCTTAAACTGGTTTATTTTTTTAAATGATGGTCAGAAATGTTGTAGAAATAAACTGTTGTAAAATGAGCTTTAGGGTCATCTGTTTTTTTTTGGAATTTCGAATATTAGTTTTTTCAGTGTTTTTTTTTGTTTTGCGTTCATTGACTCTTTTCCAACTATCTGCTGGCTATGTTTTTGTTTCAACAGCTGATTTTTCTGTTTTCTGTTCCACGTTTGTCTCGCAAGTGAAGTTAAGCTGCGCTTGGATTTTTTGTTAATGATTCTTTTATGAATTGCCTAATGATTTTCAGATGTGGCAGCGCGTGGTCTGGACATTGGGGGTCTACCGTATATGATAAGCGTGACTATGCCTCCGAGTGAGGAGAAGCAGACCTATGTGCACAGAATAGGCCGAGTGGGCAGGGCCGAGAGGATGGGACTGGCTATCGCTCTAGTGTCTAAATTCAAGGAGAAGGTAGGTCAATCTCCTAAAATTTATTATCATAATGTTGCTATCATAAAGAAGCTGTTCGATAATTTCTTGATTAGCTTGCAACAAAAAGCCGCAGTTTTGCAAATCATTTCAAGCAATGAAAGAATTTGAAGTTGGTCAGATTTTTTTCCGGAAAAACTTGATTTTATGACTTACCGCTCACCAATTCAAGCTATCAAATGAAAGTGACATTTTTCAAAATTCCACAACTGGTGTCTCCGATAGTTAAATCCATGGAAACAAAATGCTTCAGTTTCATAGCAGGATAGCTTGCTTTTAACTTTTAACAAATCAATTTAATCCGTCAGAAAAATTGAATTGATTTAAAGATTCTTCGCTTGAAGTGTTCTCTTACAAAAATCTTACTCTTTTGCCAACCAATGAGAGCTATCAACACGAATTGAATTGTCCAAGTTTCCAGTAAGTGAAATTTTTTTGGGAATTTATTGAGACAATCAAAATAACAACCAATGTTAGCTATCGAAGCAGCTTTAAATCTTTCAAAGTTTTACGGTTTGATAGCTTGCTGTAGAAAATCAAATCAATTTTTTCGACTACATTTTTTTTGCATATTTATTCAGGCCAGTAATCAACTTGTAATCCTGCTTCAGTAATTTTCAAATTAAAGCAATCTGATCTAAGGCTTCAAGTCATATTGCAATTTGAAGTTTCATCGCTTGAATGCCTGGTGTCAGAAATGTGTTTCAATGCAAAGGATTTCAAGCTATTAAACGCCTTGAAAATTTTCTATTTTTCTTGGCTTGATAGTTAGCTTGAAAACGCTTAGCTTTTTGTGAGCCATGGTAACAAGCTGTTCAAATAACTTGGTATGTTCAAGTGTTCATTGCTTCATTAGCTGACTTCAAAAATTAAGTAAAACAGTAAGTTTCATTTTTAAGTGGGATTGCTAGTAAATAATGAGTTTATAAATGATAGTTAACGGGGATTTCTTCGGATTTATTTGATTTTGCAACATTTCATGCTGTTATCCTTACTTGACAGGAGCGGGGAGCTAATATGGAATCAGTGGAGTAATTGTTGACCTCGATGCCTCCAATTGCTCCTCGCAGACCTGGAGTGTATATTCATTTGCTCAAGTAATTGTCGCAAAACTTTGAATCTGTATAGGGCATTTTCACTAATTTGTTTCTCAAATCTATCAGAATTGGGATACGAAAGACAATCGGCGGAACTTTTCAACATTCACCCGACGTGCAAATTTCATTGAAAATTTACTACATCAGGGCGAAATGCGTAATATTACGATCCAAGGCGTGACGAACAAATTTCTACATAATGTTATTTAGTTCGCCATGCAAGTTTTCATTTTAAACAAGACAGCGTAAATTAGTTCATGAAAATTGAAATGTGCGTGGGGGAGGGCGAGGGGTTGGAAAATAGCTCAATCATCTGCGCACTTTACGACAACATTGAACTAAACAATAATTTTGTTTGTTTCAGGTGTGGTACCATCAGTGTCCATCGAGAGGGAAGCAGTGTAACAATGTGAATCTGACCGACCACGGAGGCTGCTGCAAGTGGTATGACGAAGCCACCTATCTCGGGTGAGTGAGTCCTTTCTTATTTAGTTTTTACCCTGGCAATGAACAAGGGTATTGGAGCCGGATGCTAGGTTTTTTCCCGGTAAACAACTTTGTTTGGAAGATTTCGCAGATATTTCATCTTGCGGCTTTTTCCCCTTCCCACCTGCAAGTTTTACTAGGCATTTTTTGTTCACTTTGTCGGATTGTTTCAAAAATTGGCATGCGGACTAATTAGGCTATGAAAAACACTTGGTCCTCTTAACCTTGTTAAGCCCCTCGTTAAATTGATAAATATGTAAGGTGTGGTGAAAAGGAAAAACCCATCTTGCTTCATATTAGATGAGGTAAGACTTCTGCTTGCGATGACAAAAGCTTGCGGTTTTCTTTTCAAACTGGAAAATTTCTGCTTTTTCAGGCTATCGTCTGTCTGATTATTTAGGTTCCCGTAGCACGGTTTCTTTTTGAAGGTTCAGCTGAAGGTAAATTCAGTTACAAGATTTTTCTGCGGAATTTTATTTTAAACGTTTTTTTCCCGTTCACTAATGAGCACTGAATTATTACACTAGCGAACTTTAGTGAGCGTTAGTGTTTTACTACAGCTATTCTTTTTTTCTAACATAAGTCGCAAATATTGGTGCCACGTTTGGGACATCTTTACGACATTTTGATAGCTTGTGCCTGGAAATTCGAATTGAAATAAGCTAACAGAGTTGATACATTTTAAATTCATCAAATGAACCGAAAAAAGCTATTTGTTTTAAACAGCAACAATAATGAGAACTTTCTAACCCAATTTATCTCGCAATTTTTTGAAATGCATAATTTATACATAATGTGGCAAAAGGCTTTCTAAATTTTTACATGCTAAATGAGTGTGGCTCACTTCAGTTTGTTCTATTCCGAACTATTACGAGCAAAATTGTGTCTATTTGTATTTGGTGCCACTTATGCTGCATAACATTGGCAATTCGTTAGCACATGTAGCTGCTTTATTTGTGTTAAGTTTTAGCCGGTTTTTTAATGTTCGTGGCGAGAGGGCAAGGCGCTAAACTTAAATTCGCTGGTTCAAAGACATGTAGCAAAGTTTTATTAATTCGAGGCTTATTTTTATCTTTTCGTATTCCACTTAATAAAGCCGCATTTTGTCGTGTTCTCGCTAGTATTTGCGAAGCGCAGCTTTTCTTCTGTGTTACATATGCGATGATTAAGTTCACGCAATTATGAGTAGGCTCGCGCGATAGCAAGCGTTTTCGTTAATATTAGTTTTTTTGTTGGTTTTGTTTTACCACCTTTTCGGTATAATTTGTTTTTGTTTGTTTGTTTACTCGGCTTAAAAAGTTTTTTTTTTGCTTATACTTAATCGGCTAAGTGGACTCATATTGCATCGTTAGATGAGCGAAACAAGTTTTTCTTGCGTATAAGTCCAATAAAAATTGTTATCAAAATTTTCCCCCTTCCGATGAGCAAGCGTATTGCAATCGGGACTTTTCCCCCGTAAATAACTTTGTTCACAGGACTCATCTGGACTCCAGTTGGTTCCTTGGTTCATAGTGAATTCAAGTTTCTTAGTGTCTCCTGCACACTTAGCGTGGAGAATACGCCTTGGTCGGCAAAGGTCCTGAGTTCGAATCTGACCAGACCTGTTTTTTTTTCTAACGGAAACTTTGTTTCATATAAAATTGTCGGCCTCATGTCTGCTTATGTTTTGTCGGGTTAGTTGCAACATCTAAAAATGGTTTATTTTTGCTGTAAAATTTTTTCATTTTGGTTGCAAAACGTTTCATTGTGTTTAAGCATTTAAAAAATCTGGTCCAATCGAAATTTGATTTTTTCATTGGTTGTAACCAACTCATTTTGTGAATTTTTTCTCAATTTCGTCTTTTGTTTCGGCTTGATTGGTTTCGTTTTTTAATTCAAATTAGTGGCCTCATTTGCGTCATTTCAGGACCATTTTTGTGTGTTCTGGGGGAAAGGGGACTAAAGAAGGTTTTTTTCTAGTAAGAATTTGTATGCGTGTCTCGAAGAGTTTCTGGGCTTTGTTATCTCTTGATCATTAAAAATTCAAGTTCAATCAATCATCTGGTGTAGCGGAAACGCAAGTGCTTGATACGACAAAGGCTTGTGGTTCGAGTCCGACCTGGACCTGTTTTTTGTTAACAAGAGTCTTTGTGCTTTTTCTGGCTGTAGTCCGTCTGTTAATTTTTGTCGGCTTAGTTCCCGGAGCCCGTTTTTTTGAAGGTTCAGCTTTCTTCCAAGTTGCTGTAATACCCAGGCTTGAGACCACTAAACCCGGGAATTCGATTCCAATCGAGACCTGTTTTTTTGCAAGCTGGAAATTTTCGGCTGATAATTGTTTGTCTGCTTATTTTGTCGGCTTAATTCCGCTGAAAAGAATTTTTGAATATTCCGTTTTTTTTCTATCATTCCGAAAGCTCCTTGTATAGTTTTCAATGGTACAGGTAATTTTTATCGGATGTTTTGGGTTTTTCAATTTTTAATGACAAGAACGATTTTTTGAAGTTTTTTTCAGTATATTTTTTTCCGTTTGATTTTAATCATAGTCATTTACTTTGTATCACTAGTGGCGCGAAGCTCAGCTTCGCCTCTGTGTTCTTTTAAAAAATTCTTTAATGCTCAACGGATTTTTTCTCAAAAACTCGGCTTTAATACTGCTTTGTTTCTCTGCGAATATAACTCCATTTTCTCATTTGTCTTTTTTTTAGACAAAGATATGCAAATTTTGGTAGATGTAGCTTTTCTCGGTATTTTCAAAACTTTTAATTTCCTTCTGCTATTTACAATGCTGTTTGTGTTATATATGAAATTACCCTATTATAGCCACCCTCCCTCAAATCATTTATAGAACTCCGACGAAATGCAGAAACAGACGTACTAAAAGGGGAAATGATTTTTGCTCAAGAAGAAGTGATTTTTTGTCTGTTATGTTGACTTGTTTTCTTTTCAAAAAATCTTGAATTTAATTGAGTTTGATCGAAATCTTATTGGCCACGCTTGTTAAGGTTGCGTGGTTTTCGAAAAAAGTCTTGAATTTGATCATGCTCAAATGTGTTCAAGAGTCGGTGAACGTAGTTGTGGCTTTCATTTTCGTCTTGGAGTTCAGCTCAATATCCTTCGCTTAAATGGAAGCAATCACGTTCTCCAATAACAAAAAGCAAGTAGTGCAAAAAAAAGTCGATTTAACTTTTCACTTGCGAGAGCATGTTTTCTTGTAATCGGGAACTAGACTTGTTTTCCCGCAAACAACTTTTAAGCGCTGCTACTGTCAATATCTGCTGTAGTTGTGCAGTTACTAAATGTTCAGTTACTGTCAAGTTCTGCTGCTGCTGCTTACAAGTGGTTACAGCAGTACAAAATTCAATTAAACTACTTTTAATCCATTGTAGTTACTACATAGTTTTTTCAAATCTTATTGAAATTTTTTCGGATTCGTGGTTTTTGGTAGCAATGGAAAGACCGCCAATTCTTCTCTGAGGCTGCATAATTTTCTAGAGTTTTTTTACTTAAACATTTTCTACATCCCTCAAAAAATCTGCGGAGGAATTTTTGACTTTTTGGTCCGTTATTTTTGGATTTTTTGCTTTTCTCGAAAACTCTCTATGCAAATATGTTTGATTCAACGGGTAGAACGAGTCGTAACGAGCTACTCCGTATAAGCGGCTATGCTCAATTTTTTTGAAATAAATTGTTATGATCCTCGTAATAGTCAAACTTTTGTATTTTTGACTGTTTTTTCAAACTTTTAAATTTTCTCAAAAGCTATCCTCTCAAATCTGATTTTGGTTTCAATTGAATTGACGGATTGTGAGAAGTCAAAAGAAGGGGTTGTCTGAAGCTACCCTTCATCGGTGACCCCGTCCAACTTTTTTCTTAAAGTTAATGTCCGGGGAAAAGTCAAATAATTGATTTTTTTAAACTGTTTTTTGAAATTTTTTGACTTGTCTCGAAAACTATCATCCCAAATCTGAGATTTTGGGTTTAAAAAATAAGATGAGAGAAGTCTTCTGTATCCACGGCGACGTCGAAATTTTCTAGTAAACATTTATGGCTCTCAAGTCCTTGATTTCTTGTCCGTTTTTTTTGTTGAATTTTCTTGTCCGTTTCATATGAAATCAATAGTCACACTTTAGTTTGCGCATGTGGTGAAGAGATAACGTACCTGTCAATAAAGACAAAGGTTAATGGTTCATATCAGGCCACGATCTGCTTTTCAATAAGCGGAAAGTTTTCCGCAGTACCAAATTTGACTTAAATCTAGGCATTGTTTGCTCAAATTAAAAAACACTTAAGTGTATTCCAGTTTCGGGCAACTAATTGAAAACCAAGAATTTTTGCTCATATTTTGCTATCTATTGATTTTTTGCATGTTTATCAAACTTTTTGAATGTTGGTTTCAATTAAAATTCAAGGAGTGGTCGTTAAAATTTCAAGGTTCGGTTTCTTTTTAGCATTTTGAAAGCTCTATGTAAAGTTTCTTATATAGCAGGTAATTTTGTTCCAGGAATGTTTCGTTCTTTTTTGCAATTTGAAGAATTTTTTTGACGAAACAAAAAAATGAACTCATTTTTGTACGCAAGTGATGCGAAGCTCCGCCTCGCCTCTATACTGAAAGTTGTTTTGAAAACTGCCCTCTCAAATCTGAGATTTTGGATTCTATCGAATGAACAGATTGACTGAAGCTCTCCTATATAAGAGGCTACGCCCATATTTCTTAACACAAAAAGTTATGACCCTGGGAAAAGTCAAATTAGGATTTTTTGGCCGTTTTTGAAACTTTGACTTGTCCTGATAATAGCTATCCCATATTTAAAATCTTCAGTTCATACAAAGGAAATGGTTGTTAGAAGCTCTTTTGTATAAGCGACGTCGTCCAAATTCCCTAAAAAAAAGTTATGGCCCTCAAAAAAGTCAATGTTTTGAATTTTTGTCCGCTATTATGAAATTTTTTGGTTCTCAAAAATTGCTCCGCTGAATCTGATATCAAGGGTCCAATTGAGGCAACA